TTTTTTTTGAATGTAATTTTGTTTGTTTTAAATGAAATGAAATGAATAAATAACTAAACTAAACTAAACTAAACTAAATTAAACTAAACTAAATGTTATTGTGGGGGATTGGAAAATAGGAAACAAGCCACGTGTCACCTTACCTGTCAGCTGTTGGCAGTTTGGTGCATTTTTCAAAGATGAGCCCCTTCTTGTCAAACGATGGGATTTGAATGGCTTTCTTTTTGATCAAGGGAGAAGACAGAGACAGAGGAGGAGACAAACAGCCTTTTGGATGTTCATTTGTTCGCCTGGACGATGAAGATGAAGATTCACCTGACATCAACGGCGTCGAACGATGAAAAACGCTCATTCTGCTTCACACAAGCAAGAAGAAAAAAACACGACAAGGGACTAAATTAGAGAGGAAAAACGAGAAGAAATCAGGTTAGTAGAAACACAAAGTTTACTTCCTATAAATCTATAAATAAAGTGGTGCTAAAACAAACACTAATTCAGCTGAAATATCTTTATTTAAAATCATTTTTAGAATGGATGTCCTGATATTATCAAATATTGATTTGGGGTTCTGATCAGGGTATCTTTTATTGATCGGTATCACAGTGAATGACCATACTACACAAAAAAAAGTTTTATTTCTTGTTGACTTTTGAAGCTGTCAGTCATAATACGTCTCCCAACTCATGGCAACCTTAGCTGTGTAAAATAATCTTTTGGAATTCAGGTTTTTGTTAGAAAAATGCAAAATAATGCAAACAGAGGAATAAAACTTGGTATTAGAAAAAACATAATACGACTCAGATCAACATCAGGGATAGAAAATCTATAATCAGGACATCTTTTTTTATTTAATTAAGGTCCAGAACATTGAGAAAACAGCAGTCATTAGTACTAAAGTAGTACTTGGGTTAGTTTTACCTAGCTTTAATTTGGCAAAGATTTAACGTGGAACATGAGGGTAGCTCTTTTCAGATATAATCCCTGCTTAGGTCTTAAAACTAATTATTAAAAAAGGCTGAACTCCTGAAACAAAGTAAATCTAACAAAAGAGCACTACCTAAACAAAACAAAAATACACAAAACTATGCATTCCCATATAAAAACATCTGCACAATAAAAAAAATCCATCTTCTCATGTTCTGGCTGAGGGAAAAGACAAACCTGACTACGGATGCTCTGCTTCTGTCGCCGTCACGCTGAGAGAGTAAACAAGAGTGCAAGGCTAGGAGCAGGGCAGTAGGAAGCGGTGGGCACACACATGCCATTCTCTCCATTCCTTCACACTGAACCTTCACTGTCTCACTCCCACTCTCCTGCTCTGCCTCGCTCGATTCGGGTCACTGGACTCTGGGAAGTGTGAGTCTGGTCATGAAGCAGGAAGCAAAAGCATGAAGGAGAAGCTCTTTGACTGAAGTTTTGGCTGTCATTGCAGCTGACGTCTAGCAGTGATTAGTCTTTGATTGGTACCTACAGTCTAAATCTGAAGACGAGTGTTTGTAAAAACACTCCAGTGTCTTGACTGACCAGGAACATTGGAATTCCCCCAGAAGAGCTGAGGGGGGCTGGGGACAGAGAGGGCTTCTGCTCGAGCTGCTGCGACCAGTCTCCAGATAAAGTAGAAGATAATGCATGGATGGATGGATGGATGGATGGATGGATGGATGGATGGATGGATGGATGGATGGATGGGTGGATGGATAAATGGATGGATGAATGGATGGATGGATGGATGGATGGATGGATGGATGGATGGATGGATGGATGGATGGATGGGTGGATGTTTGAAAAAAATCCATCAAATACGTCCACACCCGCAAAATGAGGGAAATCCGTGTAATTTACTAACAGTCTGTTCTTGACATGTATGGAGGTACATGTGTGGTATGGAGGCAGTGTGGGAGGGTTGATGTCTGAATCCGTTAATAAACAGATTTGAGCTTTAACAATTGTTTATCTTGTATTCTGAACGAGTTGTCGTCAGCATTTATTAAAACTTGCTTCACGCTGCTATCATTGTCCATGAGTTTGTGCTGCCAGCAGGTTACAACCTGCTGCTGCATGCAGCTCCTGTGTTTCCGACCCACCGACACCACATGAACAGGTGAGCTCACAGCTCCTCACCTCCTCAGGACAGATCCATCCAAATCAGGACGGTTGAAAACACGGGTTTTTTTTATTCAAAAAGAAAAAAAAGTAGGTCCTCTGGATGGGTTCTTCTTTAGTGAAATGTTTCGTCTCTCCTCCAAGAGACTTCTTCAGTCTGATGAGTTTCAGGTGAAACTCAGCCTTATAAGCACTGCCTCCACATGGACAAATGGTTAGTCACATGCAAAAGAGGGCTATTGCCTAACAATAGGCTTGATTAGCTCTATTGTTCATAGAGGGTCATGTGCCCCATCACCTGACTTATTGGTTTGGATGCTTCGGCTGTGGTTATTTGGTGTTTTGTTATTTGTATGTAGTGAGTGCAAGCGGAGCTCAACATCCCCTTGTTTTTGTCTCTGCAGCCACTTGTTCAAAAGAATGAGCCAGCACAGACGAGCTACATCATCGGGTCAGGACTCTACAGTTCACACTCATCTACAGGCCAGCGGTCACTCTTTCAGGGATGAAGATGTTCTCATCCTTGATAGAGAGGAACGTTGGTTTGAGAGAGGAGTAAAGGAAGCCATCTTTGTGAAGAAAAACCGTCCACCATTGAACAGAGGTGGAGGCCTTCGTGTCCAGTTGTCCTTCTCCCACAATCACCTCATCATACCTTTGTCACAGTCTGAGGGAAATAGCTGTTTCTCGTCCTTTTTATGAGGCTGAACATTGCCAACACTGTCTGAGGGTTGGATCAGTTTAGATCAAATGAAAATATGTACAAAAGGCAGTCAGTGTTGCATTAAGTGTAGCTCAGGATGGGATTACGAAGATGATGTAAGTGTGTGTGGCCAACAGATGCTCTCTRGCTCCCAGTCCACGAGGTCGGCCCTGATATTCCTCAGGATCTAATGCAGCTCCTCTGCTCAGGCATCACTACTGAATGTGGTTTCACGACCTCTTCCTGCGATTCTCATCAGTCATCTCATCCTGGTTATTATTCTGTAGACGTTACAGAGTGAGATTATATAACCATAACTGCAAGTCCAGCACTCACACGAGCTCTGTGCAWTCCATATCATTATAAAATGTGATACCTGAATCTGCTTTTGCTCTGTTTCAGTGTTTCAAACTGCACTTATGATGCTGCAAACTCAATACTTTTCCATTCTCAGACAACTGTTTGTGATGTTTGTTTGTGTACATTTGGAAACAGACACAACAAACTTTAATGGCTGTGCTGTTTCTTAAGTTGCTTTCAAAAGTTGAATATGTCAGAAAAAATAAAGCCAATGTTTCATTAAAGTTTATCCAGTGGTTCATGAGGTATTTTGCTAACACAATGCTTCACACTTCAATACTTTTTAAAGTTTATTTTTCTTGGTTGCATCCATCCTTTTCTGTTATTTGCAATACTATTTTTTAAATGAACCTTACTGTTTATAAATTACACCTTTTTCTGTATTAATGTTCTTTGTTCATCAATATTTAAAAAATACATCTTTGCAGTCGTCCCTTTGTAATAGTAAATGGGCGTGGCCTCGAGCCGAGTTCCACCCGAACGTTTTCCGATCTGTTCCGATCTTCCTGCAGCTGCTGCTTGTGCTCCCTTCCTGTCCGCCCTCCATCTCGACCATGGTGGACATTCTGCTGTTGATGTTTTTCGCCGTCATGGGCCTGGTCTTCCTCTCCTACATCATCTACATGTTGTGATGAAGACGCGTTCGGCTCAGCAGAGGCGCGAGCTGCCGCCGCGCATCATCATCATCMTCATGTATCGTCTTAACTGGTAAAACGGGATACCTATTATCACATGCACGAGCCAAAAGGCGAAGTGCCTATAGTTTGTGTTAATAACGCATCTGTAAACGAGGAAGTCGTTTTTTAACCGACTATCATTGAACGCATCTGTTTCAGAGTGAAGAAGCAGGTCTGGGCCATGATGATGCTCCTCCTGCAGCTCTCAGATGGGACATGATATGAGGAGTCCAAAGAACAAATGGACATCCTCTTCATCACTTTTTTAATCACTTTCATCATTTTCCTCACTCTGATCTGGTCACTAATCTCTAATCTTAATCTCACCCTGGTTCAGTTTGTCAGCTGGAGGCACAAATCCTGTGTTTATACGGGTTAGTCTTTTTTTTATATTACATTTGTTTTAAATCAGTTTGACACAATTACCTAAAAACTGGTGTGCAATTCAATCACAAAAACTTCAGCAACATATTGGTTGTAATCAAAAATATTTCAGCCCAGTTGCTCGGTTTCTGTTTTTGTTCCCTCAGAATGAATAAGGGTCAAAAATCCATCCACACGCCTTTCCGGATGTACTTTTACATGACGTGTTCTGATTTGCTGTATCATGTTTACAGATGCACTAACAGCTCGCTGAAATTATGTGTTGAATAAAAAAAGACTATCGATGAACCAAGTTGCCTTTTTATCAGCTGTGTGGGAGAAATGGGAGAGAGAATCAACAAAACGGGGCCTGCCATGTTGTTTCTTCTCTGGTTCTACATCTACTGCTGTAGGCTACATATCAGTCATATCATGTCTTTGCAGTCTTGTATTCGAAACACTCAGTGCAGTTTCCAGGAGATTAAAATACAAAAAAAGACTGAATGATTGTAAACACAATGACAATGGAAAAAAAAAACAACCACCTTATAAGATAAACAATAAGGAGTATAACTTTGTTGAGAATTGTGTAGATGAAATAAGAGATTTGATTACAACATAAAAAAGAACATGTTCAAAATCTTTGCAATGTTCTCTAAAAGTTGTGTTGTTTTAGGTAGAGTGACGTAAAGATCAGCGTCRTTCAAAAATGGAAGTCTGAATAAWARCAGAAACCCACTTGGATACAGCGGGTAAAATTAGTATTGAACACGTCACCATTTTTCTCAGTAAATATATTACTAGAGGTGCTAATGACATGAAATTTTCACCAGATGTTGGTAACAACCCAAGTGATTCACAAAGAAATCAAACCATAAATGTCCAGAAATGAAGTTATTTGTAATAATGTGGAATGGCACAGGGAAAAAGTATTGAACACATGAAGAAAGGGAGGTGTAAAAAGGCATGGAAAGCCAAGACACCAGCTGAACTCTCTCAGTAATTAGAAAGCAAGCCTGCCCCTTGTCAGTGCAAGTTAATATCAGCTGGTTCAGTCCCAAATGATGGCCAGGTATCACACAAGAAMCATCTGATGATGGGTAAAAGWAAAGAGCTCTCTCAAGACCTTCACAACCTTATTGTTGCAAAGCATAATGATGGCATCGGTTACAGAAGAATGTCTAAACTTCTGAAGGTTCCAGTGAGCACTGTTGGGGCCATAATTCAGAMGTGGAAAGAACATTATTTCACCATAAACCGACCACGACCAGGTGCTCCTCACAAGATTTCTGACAGAGGAGTGAAAAGAATTATCAGAAGAGTTGTCCAAGAGCCAAGGACCACTTGTGGRGAGCTTCAGAAAGACCTGGAATTAGCAGGTACGATTGTTTCAAAGAAAACAATAAGTAATGCACTGAACCACCATGGCCTGTATGCACGCTCACCACGCAAGACTCCACTGCTGAAGAAACAGCATGTTGAAGCTCCTTTAAAGTTTGCTGCACAACATTTARACAAGCCTGTGTAATACTGGGAGAATATAGTCTGGTCAGATGAGACCAACATTGAACTGTTTGGATGCCAGAATACACATCATGTTTGGAGTTCAAATGGCACTGCACATCAGCCCAAAAACACCATACCAACAGTGAAGTTTGGAGGTGGGAACATCATGGTGTGGGGCTGTTTTTCAGCATATGGTACTGGCAAACTTCAAATAATTGAAGGAAGGATGAGTGGAAAAATGTACAGAGACATTCTTGATAAAAATCTGCTTCCATCTACCAGGATGATGAAGATGAAACGTGKCTGGACATTTCAGCAAGACAATGAGCCCAAACACAAAGCCAAGGAAACTCTCAGTTGGTTTCAGAGAAAGAAACTAAAGCTGCTGGAATGGCCCAGCCAATCACCTGACCTGAATCCAACAGAAAATCTATGGAAAGAACTAAAGATCAGAGTTCATAGAAGAGGTCCACGAAACCTTCAAGATTTGAAGACTGTTTGTGGAAGAATGGGCCAAAATCACASCTGAGCAATGCATGCCACTAGTTTCTCCATACAGGAGGCGTCTTGAAGCTGTCATTGACAACAAAGGCTTTTGTACAAAGTATTAGATAAATTTCAGTAAGTCTGTTCAATACTTTTTCCCTGTGCCATTCCACATTATTACAAATAACTTCATTTCTGGACATTTATGGTTTGATTTCTTTGTATGTATGGATCACTTGGGTTGTTACCGACATCTGGTGAAAATTTCATGTCATTAGCACCTCTAGTAATATATTTACTGAGAAAAATGGTGACGTGTTCAATACTTATTTTACCCGCTGTATCTTCTAAAAATCTTTATTCTCATCTGACTCCAATCAGCTCCATGCAGCAGTACACAGCACAGGCCTCACAGTCAAATGCCTTGAGCTCATTTCAGGAAACCAAAACAAAACATGCCAGTCTGTTCCAGGCTGAAGACCCTCTGCACAACTCAAAAACACGAAACACTTCCTAACCTCTATAATAATGAACTGACTTTGTAATGTTTGTCTCTTCCTGGTTACACCCCTGGATGTGTTACCTTTTAAGTCTCTGTTTTAATTATGGCTGCAATGATCATCTGTAAAAAATTACAATAGATATAACATTCAGTGGATCAGTTACAAAATTTCCTTCAATTTCATTAGCAAATTAGGTTGGTACATTTTTTTCATAAACTTTGGCTGGCATTATCTGACAAAACAAAATGCCTAAATGCTTGTTTGGATATAATAGTTTGTTTAAATCACAACAAATTTCCAGTTAATTTCTATAAACTGCCCATGATAAGTTTCCAATTTGGAATATTTCTCAAATTTTCCTGCTTAACTTCCCCTGGGAAACCAGCTCATGCTCTGTATGCTCAATAAACATTAAAACATGCTTTAATATTTCGTACATCATGCTTTATGGAAATGTAAAAACGTAATCATTAAATGTTGAAAACCTGCAGTGATCTTGAGAAGACTTGGTTCAATGTGATTAAAATGTGCAAAAAACAAACTCAAAGAAACTTTGCATTCAAACAGATTGAAAGCTTTTATTTTTGTGTTTACAAAGGAAGCATAAAGTCAGCAAAAGACGGTTATTACACGCAAAGTTTTCTCATAAACAGCTTTTTTTTTCTTGGTCCATCTCAGATTCTCTTGACAGCTGGAACTGATTGCTTGCTTTTATGCGGAGCACGTTATTTTAATGGTGTCGCTCCGGTTTGGCGCGTCTCCGCTAACGATCCTCGTGCGTTTCAACAGCTGCCGTGCCGACATCAGGGAGAGGATTAAAGCCTCTCCTCAGCGGCAGCAGAGTCGCTGCACGTACGTCATTCACTTTACTATAAATAAATGCACGACAGAAGTTGGGATGTGAGGCGATTGTCGCGTTACAAAACGTATGTAAAAGTTGGCACGGGAATAAGATGGCATGAAATGTAGAAACACTGAAAGGCAACATGTCCTCCAATCAAAATGCTCTAAGGATTCTGTTTCTCTGATCCCGGCAGTGAAAGTCCACAGAGAGCAAAGAAAAGTTGGAATGATTATTATCAGATGATGACTTGTGGAAAATGTTGGCCCCCCTCGGTCCCCCTCTGGTCTCGTTAGTGTGAGAGCTGCCTGCACCCCTGTCCGGATGGAGGGGCGCTACTTCCCTCTGGATCATATCAGGACATTTCTATCATCTCTGCAGTCCACGCTGGCCACCAGCGGACGATGCCGGATTGTTTTGCTGCTCCATTTGTGGGCGTCCTGCAGCCCAGGCTCGAGGAAGTAAAGACACGCTCCGAATCCCGCCAGCACCAAAACCGACACCAGCAGGTAGAGGGGCACGAACCAGTCCAGGAACAACCAGGACATGACGGCTGTCAGGGCTGAGAGGTGGGGAGGTGGGAGGGGATAACGGAGAGGGCAAAGAGAGGGTGGAGGAATGAGAGATTTGGAGAAAGGTTGCCACTGTTTGACATCTATCTACGAAACAAATCAGCAAGCGTCAGGCTCCACATGTGAAAACACGAGCGACAGGTTTACCTGCGGACGGGCCGGATCAGTCAGTCCCCGCGCCGTGCGACGATGATGGTGTGCGATGAGCAGCCGGTCATGAGACGCTGCAGCTCACGGCTTCGCGAGAGGCGGCAGAAATCACAGCTGCTCTCTGAGAGGCGGGAGCTCCTCGCCCGCCAGCTCTGACGTTGTGGAGGAGAGGGGCGGGGGGTAGCCATGGCAACACCTCTGCTGATGGCTGGGGAGGATGGAGGGAGTGGGAGGAAAACTTATATAATCATAATCTTTTTTTTTCCAGGTTTTTTGTTTTGGGGTGGAAGAGAAATAGAGAGCGAAACCCTTCAGATGCCTCTGCCTGCTCACCGCCTCGCTGCATAAAATCAGTTCTAATCCGTTTAACACTGGGGCGATCACAGGGTTTCTGTGACACCGTGTCGTTTTAAATTCACTCTGACTGACAGCAGCTGCAGTGTTTGATGATCCTCCCCCTCACATCCTGAGGTTTCTGAGACAATAGCTGCAAAGATGGCCTACATATTGAAAAAGTTGTGAAAAGATATGTGGAGCTTTTTTTCTTTCTTCTTCTTCTTCTTTTTAAAGGCTGCCAAATTTAGCTCCTTCTGCACAAGTGGCACCGGATTACTGAAAAGCAGCTGAGTAACACAAATCAGACGGGGATGAAAAGCTGACACGGTGAGCTGAAACCTACTGAGGGCATAAATGATTGTTAAACCTATTTTATAAACACTCTAACAGTGCAGACCCACTTGAATAACACCTTAGATGCAGCAGTCTGTGGGAATATTTGAATCTGAACATGAGCTTCCTGACATTCTCACCACACTAAATGCACTTTTGGAAGACTATCAGAGTATTTATATTAGTTACTCAAGCAGAAGGCTAGAGGGTTGGAGTTCAAGTATCAACTCAAGCTTTCTACTTAAGTAAAAGTACTGGTTTTAAAACTACTTAAAGCATAAAAGTACGGTAAAGAAAAAAATCAATAAAGGATAAAAGCTTAGAGGCCTATAGCGCACAACCCCACCTCCCCCAAATTGATACAAATGGTCAAATCTTACTCTACAAGTAAAAGTTGCTCAGTCAAAAATCTACTCAAGTTAAAGTACTGAAGTACTTACTTTTCAAAATACTTAAGTATTCAAAAGTACATGCATTTAAAAATACTCAAGTATTCATAAGTATAAATTACATTTTCTAACGTTGGTCCATATTGTTTTCAGAGTGATTTTATAGAACCTTGTAACTACACCACCTGTAAAGACGTCAGCATAAAAATGCAATAAAGTGAGTGGTTAGTTCTTAAATGCAGAAATGTAATTTATCTGCAGTGAACACAGATGACAAACTGATACAAACTATTTTTCAGTCCTAAAATCTCAAACATTGAGCTGAGATATGGCCACGGGTGCTCTAGTTTCTCCGCTTGAGTTTCTTCAACAGTCTCCATTGCTGGGTTCTGTTTGAAATGAAACTGGGAGCTCAGCTCGCTGCCGTTAACGAGGACGATATAATTCCAGATCCACCCCATGTGTGAGCTACGACTGTGATTGGTTCCCCTTGTTAGGAACATAGTAGGGGTGCACCAAAAAATTGTTTTAAATCAGAATCGTGTTTCTCAGTTACAAAGATTCAGAAACAATTTAAAATGTCCCAAAATAGATTTTTAAATATACACTGCTCAAAAAAATAAAGGGAACACTTAACGCACGCTAAATCCAAGTAAATCAAACTTTTGTGAAGCACATTCAACTCTGTACAGAAAAAAGTACTCAATGCGAATATTTAATTGATTAAGATCGGGAGTTAGCGTGCGTTGTTTAAGTGTTCCCTTTATTTTGTTGAGCAGTGTATTTTTAAAAATA